GATTCAGTCAAAGATGTATTGTAGTCATTTCTGGTTTAAATTGAGATCCCTTCCCTTTATAACTCACTTATCCTCCGCCATTCCCAAGTAAAGGGTGGTATATACTGACCCAATAGCATATCTTGAAAACTAGAGCCAATCATCAATTTTAAGCATCATTTTCGTTCTCAGTGACCCAGAATTAGTAAAGTTTGACTACATTTATTTCCGAAGCATTTCGGCTGTAGAGCAGTGTTATATGTCCCCTTAGTCGTCTCTTTTCCCGGTCATATTAATCTCTCCTCATATGGCAGCTGTTCCATACCCCTAATCATTTTTGTTGCCCTTTTCTGAACCTTTTCCAATTCCAATATATCTTTTTTTGAGATGGGGTGACCACATCTACACGCAGTATTCAAGATGTGAGCATACCATGGATTTATGTAGAGGAAATATGATATTTTCTGTCTTATTATCTAGCCCTTTCTTAATGATTCCCAACATACTGTTCGCTTTTTTGACTGCCGCTGCACATGGAGTGGATGTTTTCAGAGAACTATCCAGAATGACTGCAAGATCTCTTTCTTGAGTGGTAACAGCTAATTTAGACCCCATTATTTTATATGTCTAGTTGGGATTATGTTTTCCAATGTGCATTACTTTGCATTTATCCACATTGAATTTCACCTGCCATTTTGTTGCCCCATCACCCAGTTTTGAGAGATCCTTTTTTTAGCTCTTCACAATCTGCCTGGGACTTAACTATCTTGAGCAATTTTGTATCATCTGCAAATTTTGCCACCTCACTGTTTACCCCTTCTTTCAGATCATTTATGAATGTTGAATAGGACTGAGCCCAGTACAGACCCCTGGGGGATACCACTATTTACCTCTCTCCATTCTGAAAACTGACCATTTATTCCTACCCTTTGTTTCCTATCTTTTAACCAGTTACCAGTCCATGAGAGGACCTTCTCTCTTACACCATGACAGCTTACTTTGCTTAAGAGCCTTTGGTAAGGGACCTTGTCAAAAGCTCTGAAAATCTAAGTATACTATATCCACTGGATCCCCTTTGTCCACATGCTTGTTGACCCTTTCAAAGAATTCTAGTAGATTGGTGAGGCATGATTTCCCTTTACAAAACCATGTTGACTCTTCCCCAGTAAATTATGTTCATCTGTGTGTCTGACAATTTTGTTCTTTACTATAGTTTCAACCAGTTTGCCCAGTACTGAAGTCAGGCTTACTGTCCTGTAATTGCCGGGATCACCTCTGGAGCCTTTTTAAAAATTGGTGTCTTTTGGCGCTGTACCTTTTAATTTCTGATTAATCTCCTCATTTTGTGTAGCTCCCCTTTCTGAAACTAAATGCTAGAGTGTTGGGCTGCTGTGGTGTTTTCCCTGCCACAGGGAAGTTAAATTTAATTATATTATGGTCACTATTACCAAGTGGTCCAGCTATATTCACCTCTTGGACCAGATCCTGTGCTCCACTTAGGACTAAATGAAGAATTGCCTCTTCTCTTGTGGGTTCCAGGACTAGCTGCTCCAAGAAGCAGTCATTTAAGGTGTCAAGAAACTTTATCTCTGCATCAAGTCCTGAGGTGACATGTACCCAGTTAATATGGGGATAGTTGAAATCCCGCATTATTATTGAGTTTTTATTTTAATAGCCTCTTTAATCTCCCTGAGCACTTCACAGTCACTTTTACCATCCTCATCAGGTGGTTGGTAATATATCCCTACCGCTATATTCTTTTTAGAGCATGGAATTACTATCCATAAAGTTTCTATGGTATGTTTGGTTTGTTTAAGACTTTTACGTCATTTGATTCTATTGTCAAATTATGGGCAAACTGAAGAGGGATAAGAGATGGCTGGATGGATTGAATTGAAGGGAAACATAAAAATTAAGTACCGACAGTATAGCCTTGGTGAAGGAGGATATGTCTACAGTTATTCAAAAGAGGAATGACTTAGGTTTTATACGGGGTTCTAATTTATTATTGACATGAAACAGAGAAAAGGTGAATTGAGAATTAATATACAGAAGATGTTCCTGATGGTGAGATTAACTAGACTGGAAACTCCCAGGGTAGGAAGTGGAACATATAATTTGCTTTGTCCAGTCTAGTTTTGAATTATTCAATCAAAGATCTACGGTAGTATAGGGTATCTTGTATTGGCAGGAGAATAGACTGGATTTTCTGTTTCTAACGTGTCCCTGATTTATTTGATAAGAAATTCATAGTGTAGTAAGATTCAGTTAAATTAATTTCTGATCGTACATCAGAGACAAATTTTGGGATTGAAGGGATGAAGGAAAGTGAAAACTAAGAAAACGTTGTACTTTTTACTTGTGAATCTCAAAGCATTTTGGAAACAATGAATTAACTCTCAGAACACTGTATTACTGCTTAAACATCATCCTCATGCTACAGTTTTTGGGAAACTGAGGCACAGAGGTTAAATTTATCCAGGTCCATCTAGAAGGGTGTGGCTTATATAATGGAAAAGAATACCCTAACATCAAACATCTGATACAGATGGGACAATAAACAGAGAATCACTTTTCCATGATAGGTGGCTGCAATATTGAAGGAGAAGATGAGAGCTGGGATTTCGGCACAGGTGCTGGTTTTTATGTAGACGCCACTGAGGAACCATGGAAAACCAACTATAGAATGTACTCGTACATAAAGGATGAGGTGACTTTTTTTCCCAACTGAAATTAATGTTGCTAAATGTGTTAAACTCAATCTCATTGTTTTGCCTTGACTAGAGGGACTGATCTCCTCTTAATTGGACTATTGTAGTGAGATGGCCGCTAATCATGCATATTAAAGTTGGACCATTTTCATTAGCAGTCAAATGTCATCATTTTCAAAATAGAATGCTTGAGCAAATCTATTAAGATGATGAATAACAATACATAGAAGTCTGTTAATTTGCAGCATGAGTGGTCCATATTAAAAAGTAATGTTGACAGGGATATGAAATATAAAAGGCCTCTCCAGAACAAGTTGTCATTCTGCTCATTTTGTGAGAACATATTTAGGGATTTAGTTAAAATGAGAACAGGGTTATAATGAAACCTCAATCTTGTTATACATGTACATTTACATAAATGTATTGTAATATGTCTAGTTGATTAACATCTTGTAGACCATGAAATGTCTACAGATATTTGAAATGTTTCCTTTTGTGTTTAGCAATATTCAGTAGTTGAGATTGTTTTATACTTGTGGTTAATTTAACAGTTGAGGTCACAGTCTGAAAACTAATTTGTACATTTAATCTCACAATTATTTTATCTGGATTAAAATACAGTAATAGATCACATTAAGTTGCTTGATTCTCAAAGTCTAAATATATTAAAGTCTTCCTTTTTTTTTCTGTCACACTTGATTTTTTTCAGCTGCCTAAATTAATAAAAGCCAATTTCCCAGCTGACTCAGACAGGATGTCTGTTTTTGGGCACTCAATGGGTGGCCATGGAGCTCTTATCCTTGCTTTGAAGAATCCTGGAAAATACAAAGTAAGATATTAAGTTTTATACAATCTTCTAGAGAAAAACCGTTTTAAAAATCAAATTCAAGTTAAACTCTGTTGTTGCAACCTTTAAGATTATGAATAACTTTAATTTTAATACTAATAGCCTACAGGTACTAGCACTGCCTAGTACTGAATGCAACTGTAAAATGCATTAGCATTTGGCATTGGTGAAATACCAACTACAGGATTCAAAAAGTTAAAAACTGAGTTAAATATAGTCTCCAGTGGAGAATATTAAAGTTATTGCTATTTTATCCAGACTATTGTAGTTAAGCAGCAGCAGCACATTTACATGGCTGTAGTATAGCTGTGGCATCACCTAGAATGGACTTCCATCTTGAACAGTCTCTTGCAGGTCGTCTTCCTTCATCATGAGTCAGTATGGGAGGATTTGGGCTTCTTAATCCCTCAAAAATCACATCTTCCAATCTCATTTGTGGCCGATCTCATATTCTTTCCTTTTACCTCAGCTTGTAAATCTTCTATAGAAATGTACCATTTTCTGCCCATTGGACAGACCCCATCATTGCAGTCATCTTGTTTTCATCTGAGCAGGACTTCAGCTTGCCAGAATCATCCAAGTATCTCCTCATTTGTGACAAAATCAAACCAACAGATGTTAAGAATACACCATTACTTTTGACATGGAAAACTGTTTAGTTTTCTGTCCTCAGCTGTTTAATGGCCTTGTTTCTGCTCTATATAACAGGGTAGTCCTCATCACCACGTTGAACACTCATATCTTAGTTGTCACACATACATCCCACCATCCACCCAGAGTCTTTTGAGGATGCTGAAATGCAGTTGATGCAAGAGCGATCGGACATGATATCTTCGCAGGGCTGGTGCTACCATTAAGGCAAACTAGGCGGTTGCCTAGAGCGCCAAGATTTGGGGGCGCCAAAAAGCG